GCCAACAGTGCCTCAAGCACCAATACAACCAAAAAAACCGTAACCAAACCACCTGGTAAGTTTTTATGATTTTATAAAACTTATATTGGTTATAAGAGTGTAATTCAATATACAATTTTATCATTTGTTTTTTAAATAACTGAAAGTCGGATGATAGAATAAGTTTTTGTGATTTACAAACGTACTTTAACCCATCATTTAGTGCCTAGCGTTGCCCAACTTAATTAAAATTAAAATTCATCTGTAAACGATTTTTTTACACAATTTTTTAATATATTTTTTTTTGTTTAGCTCAAAACTAATTAAATTTACCATCAAACTGCAGTATCCAAAATCCGTGTCACAATCTGAAAATTAATAAGCTTAATAATATGTGTATATTGTGAAATGTTCTACTTTGTTTATCATAATTGTGTTTCAACCTTCAGATTTTTCTAATAACAATGTATTCCAAATAAAATATTCTGTTACCTATCATATAAATGTTATTATGTCTATTAAATATACCTATGTACCAATAAAAATGATATTTACCGAATAAGTAAATTTGTGTTTTATTGTCTAATCAATTCTAACAATTTGTTTTGACTTCTGCTTCCTCCTCTTATTTTTAATTCTTTATTATAAAATGTCTATGGAAATGTGATAAATAGTGTCAATTGCTTAACTTTAAAAATTATAACAAATATAAATATACAATGTATAATTAATTTTGATTATTTACCGTTTATACTCATTATGCTATTGATTTAACCTTGATGCTTTGCCTGCTGGCATCCCGTAATAAACACATTTTCTGTTATATAAACTCATTTTAAGAAAAACAAAGTTTTATGTTACAACTAAAAAAAAACCTGTTTACTGTCATAAAAAGGGGAGTAAGCATCATTTCTACTAAAGGTTTCGTATAAATGTCGACTATATCAAAACTGATTTTTGGGTTTTTCCGATTTTATACTACTAGAAAATTCAATAAATTATTCAACGAGTATAATTTTCGATAGTAATATACTTTAAACAGAGTTACATACAGAGCTTGTGATCTATATCTCTATAGATCACACATTATCATGCCGTGTTCTACGACAGTAGCCTCAATTTAAAATTATACTTTTTCCTCACCCTCCCCTATCACGGGTGATGGACATATTTTTATTTTACAGACGTAAATTTAAGATCTTATAGTTGAAAATTAGTCAGAAAGTAGGACTCTATCTATATAACATATTGAGCAGGGGAAACATCAGGACTACAAAAATTTGTTTACTGCCAAAATAGTGTGTTTTTTTGTAATTTGAAAATTAATTGACCCTTAGTCGTCAGAACGTTACACAAATCTGTTTTTTATTCAAACCTATGTATTTGTACACGAGTATTCTATATTTAACTATTCATCTATAATTATTGTAAAATCAGGGTTCCACAATGCAAGAAAATAAATTGTTCTAACATTTAAATGCGCAAATAATAAAACGTAATACTTTAAAAAAAACTACTTGTATTCGAAAAAAACAATAATAGTTTTGTGATGTATAATGTTAAAACTGAAAAATGTATGATACCTAGAGTTGGTCACTAATTTAGATGGCAACAGATGTCACCATCGATATATAATAGCACGTTTTCGTAAAGACAAAATAAAACTATTTAAAGAGTTGTAAAATCTGTATATTATCATGTAAGAATATAAATCGATGGGGTTTGTGTAAACATATGATTGAAATAAAATTTTAAAAGCAAGTTGAATGCATAAAATATCAATAATAAAATATGTAAAAGCGCTATAGCTATATTAATTAAGGTGTAAAGTAGTAGCATACATTGTATTAGTATGTTACCTAATATGTATGTGATAATATTCTATCAATATAAAACATTTTTTAATGAAAATTGGGAATTGACCAAAAAAAAAACTATACGTTTTTTTTTTGTAAAATATAAAACAGTTGTTAAGCTTGATGGCATAATGTGTTAAGCTTTAAAGATTTTTTATTGTTTTACATTGCTACAGTAAATTCAGAAAAATGGTTCAAACACTTAAATACACAAACGACGAAACCACCGATAAAAACAACATGTTTTTTCTAAAGAGCAATAATAAAGTTGAATCTTTATGACCAACAGACATTTGTTTACATTGCAACAGACGTTGTGAAATATTCGAATACATATAATTTTGTTTAACTCTAAAAAGATCTTTATGTAGCTAAATATATTTAGAGTGGAACAAAATCACATGATGTGGAATAATTTTACTTAAAGCTTATATTCAACAAGTGCACTATTATGAATGTATCAAATATTTCATATGTTGAAACATTTTTTGGGTAATTTTCAGATATATCCATGTCATTAGTTTTGTTCCTGATGTCAGGTTTTTGCAAATTTCACGGTAATAAAATATGAATAAATATAGCGGATTCATTGAAAAAGAGTAAAAAAGTGAATAGGCTGTACACAAATTAAAAACAGCTTAGTGTTTAGCTATAACCGAAGAAATAGCCATTCTGTTGTGCGTTTGAACCTGTACATCTATGGTTTAATGTATAAAAATATATTTATCACGCAGAACGACATACCCGAGTGTATGGTTGTTAATATCACAAAAGCCAAAATCAACACGATTCTTAAATGGCTCATGATAATTCTAATGTAAAATTAATAAGAAATGATAACAATTTTAACAAATGAGCAATACCAACAGTTCACGGTTATAATTCTAAATAAAGCTGACTTGTAACTCGCTTGTTTGTTTTGTACATGTTTTTTTTAGGTTTGCAAAATAACATCTTATATAGTTTACGTTATTATTAAATGTATGACGAAAACAGTATTCGTTCTAAGTCTTGTATACTTTAATACGCTCGACGCATCCAAACGTTTGAAAGTCATGTTGAAATTATTTAATAGATAAATGTACATTAAGGAAAGCATTAGTTTTAAAGGAAATAGGTTATCAGGATATGTAAATTATGGAACCGGTACTGATAATTGCGATACCTTACCAAAAGCCACTCAAGCACTTGTTTTTGTGCTTGTTGCCATAAATTAAAACTGTTAAGTACCAGTTGGCTATTTAACGGCATAGGAGCAACTGAAAAAGCCTATTTAATGAATTTATGTATTGATTGGATATGTATTGATTTACAAATCCTTAAATGCTTTACAACTTCGAATAACACGATAACATCTAATAATTAAATATGATTTAACACAAAACAAATTTAATTTTAATATTCTAGTTAAATCATGTTAACTAAGTTTCTTAAACTTGAAAAAACTCTTTGGACAATATTATTTTCTGATATCTAGGTCCGGTGTATTGATTTTATTTGCTCTGGTCAAGTTGCGTTTTTCAATTTCATTTTTTATAGTTGGTAATAATGTTAGCCAATAAAATAAAATAATATACCTACAATTTTAGGTATAAATGCACATTACCAGGTACCCTTTTTTTTTTGTATCTTTGTTTTAGTATTTTTTACGCTGGTTCGGAATTTCAAGGAGCTCGCGTCGACTCCCAAAGCTGGCTGGCGAGTTGTTTTGTATAGTTAATGAATTACCAACTTAAAGCTTTAATAATTAAGAAAATTATATTGTTGTTCAATACAATATTGACATTACATCGTTGATAATATTATAATAATAACAAAAATAAATAACACTGTAGCAGCGCACACTCGCGTCGCTGACAAATGTATGGTGTGGTGGCGAGCGTCTGTGGCTGCAGTTGCCAGTCGCTACCACCTATTGTTATATATGCAAAAATATGCAAATTTTAAGAAGCTATTGAAGAAATTTGAAACTAGAGGAGTGCGCCAAATTTTGACTTGCGATTCGTAATCAGCGTAAAAATACTACATGATGATAAAAACAAAGGGTGGCCGGTAAATTGCATATTTTGTGCCTAATTGTATTTTATTGAAAATAAACGCATTTTCGTTAATCACCGTTGTAAGATAAGGAAATAATTCACAAAAATTGTCATCACGTATGTATACGCATTTATATAGTTCTAATCTGTTCTAAATGGTCACCTGCACCTATCTGAGCGGCCAACTTGTTTGGTAACGTTAGGTCGGCAGCCAGCTATAAGCCAAAAAATGCCAAATCTAACCCGTCTAAGCCCCGATCGGTGGGAATAGCGGACGTTAAACGTAAGAGATTATATACTTATGTAAAAATAAAATTAATATTAAAAATAATTCCACGGCCAAAATCAGCACGATATAGTATATCAATTAAATTAGGTCAATTGTGATACAAATTTTAAAACAAATTTTTTTTCTTGTTTTTTTGTTCTATTATTTGTTCTTGACGATTGAGTAGACAATAGTACTTTGGCAGAATATACATACTTAAAAACACCTTAGCATGCGTAGGCAATTGTAAATGGGGTGAACTTCTATGTTACTATGAACCGTAATAACCGTTAATAACTAGATTGCATTTGCTTGTAGTATTGTCGAAAAAACAAAAAATATGAAAACAGTTTTTGATCTGTTTAAAATTTATACGAAATCTTTGGTAAAAATGATACCCACTCGTCTTTTTATGACAGTAAATTGTTTTTTTAGAGTTGAAACAGAAAACTTCGTTTTTCTTAAAATGTATTAAAAGTTTAGCAAAGGTAGTAATATTAAAATGTTAAGATGTATAATATTTAGTATTCATTTTATTACTGGAATCATGTTTTGCTTTTAAAGCAAAAAACACATATGCCGTACTGCTCATTACATATGTGGTTAACCTAACCTAATCAGACAAAGCATCAAGGTTAAATCAATAGCATAATGAGTATAAACAGTAAATTATCAAAATTAATTATATATTGTATATTTATATTTGTTATAATTTTTAAAGTTAAACAATTGTCACTATTTATCGTATTTCCATAGACATTTTATAATAAAGAATTAAAAATAAGAGGAGGAAGCAGATGTCAAAACAAATTGTTAGAATTGATTAGACAATAAAACACAAATTTACTTATTCGGTAAATATCATTTTTGTTGGTAGATAGGTATATTTAATAGACATAATAACATTTATATGATAGGTAACAGAATATGTTATGTGGAATACATTGTTATTAGAAAAATCTGAAGGTTGAAAAACAGTTATGATAAGCAAAGTAGAACATTTTACAATATACACATATTATTAAGCATATTAATTTTCAGATTATGACACGGATTTTGGATACTGCGGTTTAGTGGTAAATTTAATTAGTTTTGAGCTAAAAAAAAAATATATATTAAAATATTGTGTGGAAAAATCGTTTACAGATGAATTTTAATTTTAATTAAGTTAGGCTTCTTTATAAATTACGAAGTACAAGACGTTTTCATTTAAAATAAAATCTTAGGATTTACTAGTATCCATTGTTTTAGTTTCGAAATAAATGTGATTTTAAAATATCAAACTATTATGTGTAAAAATAATCGTTTATAAAAAAATTTAAGTATAATAATTAAACGTTTTCAGCTTTATTGAAAATAATTTTAAAACTTAACCCATTAACGCCGGTGTTTTTTTTTCTTCAATAATTGGTATCTTGGGTGCTTATTATATTTCTTATTATTTTTTTGAGTTTAAAAAAAATAATATGTACTTAAAAAAAATGGATGTTGCCATACGTTGTAACGCTAGGCGCTGATGGGTTAAAGTATGTTTGTAAATCACTAATAAACTTATACTATCATCCGACTTTCAGTTATTTGAAAAACAAATGATAAAATTGTATATTGAATTACACTCTTATAACCAATATAAGTTTTATAAAATCATAAAAACTTACCAGGTGGTTTGGTTACGGTTTTTTTGGTTGTATTGGTGCTTGAGGAACTGTTGGCGATGGTCCTCGTCCTGAAGGCGGTGTTGGTAGTTTTGGTGGTTTTGGATTTCGTTGTGCTGGTGGTCCTGTATGTAGTGGTGGTAGTCCATCACGACTTACCGAAGGGGGAATTTTTTCTGAAAAATCGAAAAAAATGACAAAAATATATTTTTTTAAGTTATATAAATTTCTTTTGATCCAAAACCATTAAATTTTATCAAACCTACATGTTATAATCTTAAAATAATATTATAACTGGATATGCAAAATAATACAGTATATTATGTTCATGAACAAGGGAAAGGTTTTATTATTTTCGACAATTTAAGGCATTTTATACACATTTTAAGCTATATTAAACATAATTTTAAAACTGCAAGTATATTTGTGAAGCCCATAAACTGATATTATCCATTAACTTACCTTCCGGGTCACCTGAAATATTGAAAAAAAATTACTTAAATACTTTATGTTATCCTTGTGTATAAATTATCATGTATAAATTGTATACTTTAATTTTAATCCAAAAGCGTTTAGGTTTAATATAGTCATGTATATGTTCCACGTATAAGATATATAAGTAAAATAATTGCGATATTGAATCAACAAAGCTATATGATATATTTTCATATTCATTTTTGTCAGAGGTACCACAAAAAAAAAAATGTGTATTTCTTTATTTATTAACAGTACCAAACAAACATTCCTAAATTTGTCTTTTAAACCTCTTATTTCATTTAGGTTAACAAATGTCTACATAAATATTGTTTTAAAAGTAGGTTAAGTCATTTAAAACTGCTATTATATTTTATTGAAAAACTAAAAACAAGGTATAAATTATGTCAGTCATTGAAATACGAATAATAAATAAAAATAGAGCTATTGAATTTTAAACTTACCTGCATCAACACCTAAAACATGAAAAATATATTTGTATAACATAAATTAATTAATATCGATAAAAAGTTAAGTAAAATATAAAGTAAAAGCTTGTTTAAAATAACAAAAAGTCAACAACTCTTTTTTTTTACATTTGTATACTGTTTTTTATGTACCTGTATACGTTGCCATTACAATGAAAAATACGGATGTTGCAATCAAAATAATCATTTTAAAATTCATTTTTATTAAGAAACTATACTCTAATAGTATCTTAAAATGTATGGATTTTGAAATGCTAAATTATATTTGAACTTTTGGATTTTAAGTTAAAGTCAAGCACCAAAAAAGTTGAATACTACTGGTGCAACAGTACAATTTATTACATTATATATAAAAATATGTTCTGCACAAAATTGTTTGTCTCATTTGGTAGGAGTTTGGAAGGGAGTGTATATTATTTTTGGGTTCGCCAAAAAATTGTGTGTACTATTGTTATGTAATTTATCGTTTTTTGTTCTAAGACCTAGTTCAATACAGCCAAACTATACATTTTTTTTAGCAACTTATTTATTTAAGTGTTCTATCAAAATGAAAAACAAATTTTGAGTCATGTTAAGTTTTTCACACTAGTGGTGTAAAAAAGTATAGGTTACTCTGTAACTGTTAGATTAAAAATATACAATTAAATCAGCATTATACAGGATTAGGAATGGTTATTAAAGACTAGTCAATGGCAGAAATAAATCAATTTTTGATATTGCCGTGTTATTTTAACATATTAATGCAATTATATTTTATCATTATCAACTAGGGTTTCATATACATTTTTAGGTCAATTTATGTCCAGCATTTTAATTTTTTTTTAGTTTGCTATCGATACATCAAACATCTCTTCTTAGCCTATACTATACCACAGCTTTTTAAGATTAACAATTTTACAAAAATTTTGAATACGGAGTGCAATAATGCTGTGGAAATAATTAGAACAGTTCTAAATACCGATGTACATAGTATTAAACCCAAGAAATATCATTAACCCTAATAAGCTTTAAAATTTCATCTAGTTGGTACTTGGGGGGTAAAAGTTGAAAAAGTTTACATTTATTTTATTGGGCTAGATCGGTCCGGGCTGGGTAGAATGGGACTGAAAAAATTTCCAAGTACTAACTTAACATTCTTCTACACCGATAAAATTCGGAATTACAATCTAATTAGAAATGTTTATTATTATACATTATAAAACTATTTGAAATTCAAATCTTTAAAAATAATATATGTATAACTATTGCAACATCAAGATGTTACCGTACAAGAAATAAAATAGGTCAAACATAAAAATACTACAAAAACCACTGCAAAACAAAATTTGTATAAAAAAACACCTCGTTTTCGATAAAAATAAAAAAATAAAAAACTTAACAAATTGGTTTTGTAAAATACGAAGATTCCTTTAATATTCAAAGTTTGTGATACCTGTAGGAACTTACCATTTGTTTACATTACAACAGTCGCTGTGAAAAACAGCTTAGTTTTGATAGCAACGTTAACTTTGCTAGCAACATATTTTCATGTTGAAAAATAACCTTGAAATTTAAAACCATACAAATTGTAGGAAAATATGATATTAAGTCTTAGAAAAAGAATTGCTAACGTTTGTGCAAAAAAGAACATTTGATCTAAAAATGCTTTTTAAGTGTAAAACACTTAAATAAAATGAATAATAAAACCATGCAAATTCTTTTTGTAAAATACGAAGATTCTCATAATATTTAACGTCTGTGATACCTATAAGAACTTACCATTTGTTTACATCACAACAGTCACTGTGAAAAACAGCTAGGTTTTGATAAAAAAGAATAATACTACATTGGATTACAATTTAAACAATAAATGATTTTACAAAAACTCTTAGTTATAAGTTAAAATTATAAAAAATTTCCGATTCAGGAAAACGTAATACATTAACTGTAAATGTTTAATTAGGTACTCACCACAGTTATTTTAACAACTTGATTACTTTTATTTATAATAATTCCTGCAAATCTGTGGCCTCCTGGTCCTCACTATGCCCCGACCCCACTGTACGGGCTTTTTAAATTAATAATTATTAAACAATTCCCATCACTTATATTGTTATATCCAATAATGGACCAAATATAAATTATAATTAACTTTAAAATACAAGTGGGAGTTTTTAAATTTTAGATTTGTTGCTTATGGACTACATTACTGCGATAAGTGACTACAGCACAGAATGCAATAACCGGGTTTGAGGATATACATATTTCCTAAATCAGTAAAGATTCTATTGGTAATATTTTGTTTATTATTTCAAGATTTTTAAGGAAAAGCGTTGGTATTATTAAGTTAAATTTGAGTCTACTGACGTGTGGGGGCATACCACATGAATATTTCTTATGAATTTCAACTCGACAGCATCTCTTCTACTCATCTCTTACTCATATCTTCAAATTCATATGCTTACAAATATGTGTATATTATGTTCAGTTTTGTTTATCATAATTGTGTTTCAACCTTCAGATTTTTCTAATAACAATGTATTTAAAAGAACACAATTTGTTACCTATCAAATTTATAATGTGTTAATTACATATACCTTTCAATAAGACAAATTTCAATAAGAAAAATATTCGCTGAATAAGTAAAGTTGTATTTTATTATCTCATCTATTCCATCTATTTGCTTTTACTTTTGATTCCTTTTCTTCTTTTTTTATTTCTTTTTTATAAAATGCCTAATCACCAAAGTATGTGCGCGTGGATTTTATAAATTCATACATTGTATGCAGAGTTAAAATAGATAATTTGAAATTCGTTGTGAGCTGGCTTTATACACTAAACTTTTTACAGATCTTTCTATATATTACATGGACTTTTAAGTATGTTTGTTTATCTGTTAGTTAAAGCTTTGATCACGAGTTAGTACACATTTTGTACTATTAATTATATTATTATCCATTAAAGATCACGGTAATTGGAACTATTTATTTATTTCAAAAGTCAGTTAATGTATCCACTATTGTCTGAATATTTTAAACCTATAATTTTCGATAATTATATATTAAAAATATTATCTACAAAAAAATTAGTCATGTTTTTCTTGTAACTCCATTGTGGTTAATAGACTTAACTTAATAGTCTACGTATGTTTAGGTGTTTTTAAATATGCATATTTTACCAAAGTATTATTATGTACTGTATTGTCAATAACAAATAAATAAAAAAAAAAAACACGGTTACGCATATTATACTACCTACAAAAGCTACGCATGTAAGCTACAAGACAGAATATGTTTTAAAACTGTAGGTATTACACAATTGACCCAGTTTAAAATTAGTAACATATCGTGTTGAATTTGCCTGTTAAATTCATACTTACTAACTTTATCAATAAACATATTTTATAAATTCACCAAAAACGTAGGTTTTTTTATGCTTCCTATTTTTTAATTGATGTATGATTAGTGATACAAAACTAAAGTAGAAAACCATAAAAACTTAATAACTAAACAATATTTTTAAAAACTAACATGGTAATCGGATTTTCCCCAAAAATCGTCCTGTTTCCATGTACTACAAAAAAAATGTGTTTGCTAAAATTCACCCAATAGCCTTTGATGCTGTGGCTATTAATAATAATTTTAAATAAAAGCCGTAGCGAGACGGGCAGCTGAAGTGAAACTTTTTTTGAATTTGTTTGGATTAGGTGGAGTTCACCGCTTTTCTAGAGGAATAAAAATACACACAAATATATATATATATATTTATATATATATTGAATTTATACTTTCTAACTTATATACGAAATAATGTTACCTTGATGTCACAATTATTATAGCAAACACCCATAAATGTCTAATCGTTATTATCTTATAAATTCAACTTGTATTTTTGGTTAAAATGTCTTAATTAATGAATTTTGTTTCACCACTTAAGACATATAGTTACATTCAGGAAGTTGTAGAAATAAAAAAATAGAGGGTTGTGCTTTACAAAGATACTAGCCGTTAATAAATTATTTTCAATTAAACTGAAAATGTTAAACTATTATATTTATAATGTTTTTAAAAAAACGATTATTTTATACATGTATAATAGTCTGATTTTTTAAAATCACAATTATTACGTGTGTATTGTAAAATGTTCATCTTTGTTTATCATAATTATTATGTTTTTACTTTCAGGTTTGTCTATTAACAATGTATTGTAAATAACATATTCTGTTACCTATCATATAAATTATATTATTATTATTACATATACCAATAAAAATAATATTCACCGAATAAGTAAATTTGTATTTTATTAAATAGTCTAATTCAACTGTTTATTTTTACTATAATTAGTACAGTTTTCGATAGTAATAAAATATAAATAATATGATTGTTTAACCGTACATTTTTACTATTAACTATATTTTATACTCTTAATGCTCTTGTCTTAACCTTGATGCTTTGCCTGGTGGCATCCCATAATGGACACATTTTCTGTTATATAAACTTATTTTAAGAAAAACAAAGTGACAACTCGCAAAAAAAAAACAGTTTACTGTCATAAAAAGGGGAGTAAGCATCATTTCTACTAAATGTTTTGTATAAATTTCGACTATATCAAAACTGTTTTTTGGTTTTTTCCGATTTTAAGGGTGAAGGAGTGAGTTTTTATACTACTAGAAAATTCAATAAATTGTTCAACGAGTATAATTTTCGGTAGTAATATATTATAAATATTATCTACCAGCAGTTTAATCCTGTTTTTCTTATACAGCTATTGTGGTTTATAGTAATATAGAAGTTTACAACATTTACGCACGTATGCAAAGGCATTTTTTAGTGTGTATGTTTTTTTAAAAGTATTATTATCATTATCAGATGTTTGACATCATTTACAAGTCTTCGTATGGTGTTTTTGATTATGTATGTTTTGCCAAATTATTATCATCCACTCAATTGTCAAGAACAAATAAAGAAACAAAAAAAACACGGTTAAACGCAAGTACTGCCTACATG